ATGATAAGACTGCCGGAGATATAATTCCGGAGATTGAACCGCGTAAACACTTGTGCACTATGCATAATAATCGCGTTGCAGATAATAATTTACCAGCAGTTGCGAAAAATTTGTCAGAAATAAAGTAATGCGCGTTGGCATGTATTATGCAGTACAAAACTTAATTATAATTTGTGATATCTTTACTTTGTTGTTCTGATAAATCGTTTTCGTGTTTCACCAAGCATTACGAAATGAATTTCGTATAATAATCTAAGCTGGTCCAAATTGGCGCATGAAAATCCAAATCGCTCCAAATTGGTCTATGCTTCAAACTGTATCTATTTATTTTTACGAAAGATGAAACTTTGTTATATATTCAAATTATATATTTAAATTTATATATCATCCTTATGTTATATAGCTATTTAGTAATTTTTTCCACTGTGCTTTTGGACAATTATTATGTACAAAGTATCCCTTCAGATCGACCACGGCCCAGAGAGTTAAAATGTGTAAAAACTCATTGGATATGGTGGCGACATTTACTTGTACGTTTATTCTTACCTGTATGAAATTAATGTTTGCCATTTTTATTGTTTGTTGCGCGTAGGTGTTTTCCACGCTTGTTAAACTATGTTCATAAATGGAACACAATTAAGAAGAGCAATCATTATCTAGTAGTGTAACAATTGCATGTTTATACCTAAGAAAAACGAATGTTTAATCAAAAGTTGTACTTGGTGACGGTAATGAAGAAAAATATTTAATATCGTAGTTTGTGATAATCTGAAGATTGGTACAGCTTATGCATAGTGTTCGCGTTAATTTAGTGTGGTGAATTTTATATTCATGTAAACGGAAAGTTATATACTATTTTATATGTATAATAGTCGTGTCATACGTAGCATATAATTCGATGTACACAGTTTATATTACAATATATAACAAATAAATATCTATGAAAAAATTTGCTTTGTAACAATCTTTACATGTCAATAATTTGCTTTCTTATCATGTAATGTTTATAATTTTGTTTTTGATACAGGTGTATTTTATTCCAATAGCCAGGGCCAGATTTAGATCGTAGGGGGCCCCTAAGCACTGGCTTTAAAGAGGGCCTTTTTAATTTTTTCCGTCAATTTAATACTCGTATGAAATTAGTTGTATGGAACCTTTGAGGCTCCTGCTGGCGCGGGGCCCTAAGCAATTGCTTATATTGCTTATGCCAAAATCCGGTCCTGCCAATAACTAATGTCAAGCTTGGAATTTTAAGTTATTTGCAGATATAATAAACAATGGCGCACTTTCACGACAAGGATGTATGCACTCATCATGATGCATGTTGCGAAATGACCAGCCCTGCCTGCTGCCAGACTTTAGACGAATTAGACTTTCAAAGAGGAATTTGGGGTGCAGGTAAATAAAAGTGTTATTATTGTTCTCTACAAATAAAAGATAAATAATGAATAATTATCAATAAATCACAAATAAATGTTTAATAATTAAAATACTTAATATTGAAAATTGTGTAAAACAATAACATTTTCGTAACATTCATAACATTAACTTTGAAAGTGTGTAATTTTACAAATACAGTTTCTATACAAGTTCGATTAAAAATATTGATGTGAATGCGAGATTAATACATGGTTTGTTATGCATTTTCAGCAATGGATGGTGATGTGGAACGCATAAAGTTGCTATTGTCCAAGGGTATTTCTCCCGACGCGACGGATTCTGCCGGCTACAAACCGCTGCATTACGCTGCACGGAACGGACACTACCTGGTGTGTGAGATACTGTTGCAACACGGTGCGGACGTGAACGCGACCACTCCTTCTATCAGCGCAACATCTCTGCACCGTGCGGCTATACAGGGTCACGCCAACGTCGTCGGTTTGTTGCTAGAGAACGGCGCGAACGCAAATCTCAGGGACGCTGATGGCAAGACACCCCTACATCGAGCGATAACAGGTGTTAACGATAGCACAGTGAAGACCTGCAAGTTGCTAGTACCGCATACTGATCTCACCATTAAAGATAACTCTGGAAAAACTGTGGAGGAATGTTTCCAACAACAAATCGTAGATAAGTACGCAGATAAAGTACATCGTAAAGGACAATTAAGGGGCATCGATTTCAATGACCTTCAACAAATATTTACGGAAACACTTAAAGAAACAAGAAAAGAAGATCAAGAAAGGATATTAAAAAAAATTTTTTTGGAATAAAGGGGTGGAAAAATATTGCGACATATATGTATTTCTAACATATTGATATTTTAAGTAACCATATGTTTTTATTTCGACTGTGTATGCAACAAAAGTGTATATATATATATGTATTTCATATGTATGTGTCTGGCCATATGTAATATATTTATATGTATGTACAAACTATACATATACTCACAGACTATTTGTTCCATACTAAAGCTTAAAAAAGTATAAGGACAAACAATTTTGACATGCTTATTTGTATAAGAAATTGATATTGGTATATGAAGAAATACAGGAAAAATTTTTCTAAAGTTTTGTATAATAAATAATATAACAAAACAAAATTTTTTACAAAATTTCATAAAATGTTCTTAATTTATATTAAAACTCGCTAATTTTTCTAATGGAAAGCGATTTTTACTTTAATTTTCCAGATTAAAAATTTGATATATCATAAATTTGCCGCGTCGCGATGTTCCCGTTAAAGTATATACATGCGCCATCAATCCGTCCGCGCGCGATGGACGGCCAGAGGGTCATGCACTTGATATTGAATCGGTCGCGCTTGCGGCACTTCGACCAGGTTCGGTCGTCTCCGACGACGTTCGATGAATTGCGGTAAGCGATACACGTTACGACGACCGTGGACGGCCGTCGGAGCCCCAGTGCCATAGATATAATCAGTATAGATAGCTCTCCTCGGTCGAACAGTGTACAGAATTTAGAAAGAGAAAGATGGATTATAGAACAGAGTTGTTTCCTTTCTCATATGTAAGAGTAGAGATGGTAATGTGAGAAGATAATAGAGAGTAATGATTAGCACTATATTTCTGTTCTTTCTATTACATATTATCTCCTTTAATCAAATTTAAAAGTGGTAACAATTCTGTTCTGACATTGCGCTCGCTTTTTAATTTAGTACGCCCGCCGCTTCGGTGTAAGATAGGGAGTGCGCAGTCTATACTTATTACGTTTATGTCCAGTAACAGTATACAGTGCTGCCATCTTACGGCGCCAACACCTCCCGTCGTCGTCCGCCGTGCGGCCGCGCCAGTCGTTGCACGACGGAGAGTCGTCAATCGTTTCACGAGTGATATCAATCGCAAATTGTTTTGACTCCGTGCAGCAGCGTGTGGTCGTCGTGCATCGCTCGCGTTATCCGTCGCGTTCGTATTCGTTCTCGTTCGACAACGCTCGCACCACGAGATTCGGTTCGTGTTAATCGGTCGTTGCGAGAAGTTGCCCGCGTATCGAGACTCGTTCCCTCGCCGTCCGCCGAGTTCGTGTCTCAAGGCGGTTACACCGCAGTTCGTCCACGCCCGTTCGCTCCGTTTTGCGGCCGCGCAATCCGCTTTTTATCGTTGATCGCGCGAGTGACAATCGCGAAAGAGGCGATGTAACATCGTCGTGCTGTGACGTCACGTACGTCGGGTCGCGCTAATCGAGAAGTGCACACACGCGCGTGCGAACTCAAACACAGACCATAGAGCGGACAGCGTGCGCGCGCGCGCGCGCTCTTCGTCGTGTTGTGTCGTCGTCGTTACTCTGTACATTTCTATTTCTTTCTCTGTTTCTCCGCGGCGCGTTGTTCCGTGTATATACACATTCGTCCGAATCATACGCAATACACGGATATAAGAGAGAGAAAGACGGTGCCTGTTGCGTGCAATGTATGGTGAGATAAAGCAAGACGGAGGAAGGATAGAAACGTCGGTAAGATCGCGAGGAGCGGAGGAGAAAGAGCGATAGATAAGGAGAGCAAAAGCGAGAAAGAGAGTCAGCGAGAGAGTGAGAAGAGACAGAGAAGAGAAAGACACAAGCACACGCATACATATATGCGCTCTCGCCGCGATCGCGGAGTCGTTGGGGGAAAGGGTGAGGAGGAGGAGGAGGAGGCGGCGGGGGACGAGGCGCGCGCGCGGCGGGACGTTCCGCCGCCGCCGCGACGTACTTGCGTATACTGTCCAGCAGCGTTCACCGCGAGGAGGAGGTTCGCGCCGCTGCGGCAGCCGAGGAGGATGAGAAGAGCGGCGAGGCCGCCGGCCGCGAGACACTCTGCGACCAGATAGACCCTTCTGGAAGGCTCGCGCGCGGCGCGACGCCTCGTCTGTGTTCGCCGTCGCCCTCGTCGTCGTCGTCGGCGTCACCGTCGTCGTTATCGCTATCATTGTTGTCACGCTGCGCAGCAGCGACGATGCTCTAGCGGCACACGCGTTTTCGGCACACGTGCGAAACGGAATATAAAGAGGACGAGTGGTACTACTGCCTCCCGTGGCGCCCTGCTGTGTTTTTCTGCGAAAGGAGTGAGAACGGCGAACGAAGAAGAAGAGGAGAGGAGAAGGCAGCAGACACATCGCCGCGTTTCTTGGATATTTCTCCGGCAGCTGGCCGTGTGGCTTACAACTGCGCGAGTCGTTTCCGTTGTCCGTCCCTCGTGCAACGTTTTTCAAAGCGGCGAGCAAGATCTGTCTTTCCTACGAAAGGAAGGGAAGACAAACGGACAGCCTCGACCTCAAACTTGCGACAGCAGTGCGACGCGAGAATGGAATCGTCGTTGTTACGCGAATAAATCAGTAAGGTCGATCGGTCCGCGCGTGTTGTGTGCTGTTTTGCAGTGTGTTTCGCCAACGTCGTCGTTGTCGGAGTGCGCGAGTACAATCCGCGCGTTATAATGCTCGGCGGTACGCCGAATCGCGCGCGGCACCGCAAGAAAGCAGCAGCCGGGTTTCTACGTTCCGTTTTTATTCGCTCATCGGACGGTCCGCTGCTTCGCTGAGAGTCAAGTTCGTCGCGCTCCGCTGTGCGCGCCGTCGTGTCCGTGGCGCGCTCTCGCGCGGCGTTCACCATCGCGCTTTCGATTGTGCGTCGCTGTACCGCACCGCACCGAGGGCTTTCTATCTATCTACCTGCCTGCCTGCTCGCCTGCTCTGCGTGTGACACGAGAAAGACTCCCTGTGCGGACGAGGTAAAATGCATTTTTTTTCAATTGAATTCTGTGAATCAAGTCTCTTTATTTCAATAATAGCCTTCGCATTTTTTATTTTCTGTTTTCTTTCTTCGGAATGCTAGCGTATAAGTGTCTGTATTGAGTACAAGTGCGAAAAAGTGCAAGGAAAAGAAAGGAATTCAAAATTTGTATTTATTATTAAATAAGATTACACAAATAAGATTCAGATAATCTTTGCCAAACTTGATATTTTGATATTTGTTGTCTTTAAAAAATAATCAATTTATAATTTTGTGCGCAATGACTGCGTAAATAGATTCAAAGACTGTGTAGTGTAGCATATTTTTAACGCTATTGCGTTTAATTATTTCATGCTTTATTTTATGAAATTAATTCATGCTTTAAATTATTAAACGCGTTTATAGAATCAATTTCTTCCCCAGAAAAGTTGCAAGGAAAACGATTATTACGTATCTTTTTAATTGCTAGTAAAAAACATCGCACAAACAACGTAAACATAGTTCATTAATTTTCATGTTCAAGTAACTTCTATGCACGTAATATCCTTAAAATATGTAAGTTTTTTCATTCTTTTTCGTTTAAAAATGCCATTAATATCTAAATATCGTTCCTTTTAGGGCAAATTCCACAATTTCGCGACGGCAAATTATCCGAACTCATTTACACGCGTCCATTACCTCGCTGGGAGGGGGAGGGGAGGGGGGGCTGACGATAGCGAGCGCGATTGATTACTTTATGGCGCGACTAATACATTTCGAAGGGAACAAACATCTCTTTCTCCTTCCACTTTTTCGTATCCTCTCACGCTCGCCCTCGGGGGCCGAATCACGATAATGGGAGGATAAAAATTGGACAATGGCAGTGGCACACATTCTACGAACGAACGCAGGATCCGTCTAATTTCGGTCCCGTGGATATTCTCTCGTTTCTGCGTTAAACTACTTTTTCTCGGTCTAATGAGCTCAGGAGAACCGCGGCCGCCCTAAGGGCTTGTCACGCGATCCCATCGCCTAAGCCTCTATTCGAGGAAGGAGTTACAATGTACTCGCATTATGTACGTGGCTTCACGAAATTGTATAGGCTTCTGTGCGGCCGATATTTTGACGCGAGTTTCGAGGACTACTCGTACAGGGCGCCTGAGAACCGCCGTGGTTGCGCAAAACCTTTCATTTTTTAAAAGAAGACTACGAAACATCGTCGTTTTTTTACAAAACTTCTATATGATGAAACAGGCCATTTTGGGGAATTCTGAAGGAGTCACAATGTGTTTATGCTCTAATAATATTACTATTTCTATATTTAATGACCGATGGTATTATATTATGTTATGAATCGATTTGCATTTCGTTTTTTATCTGTTTCTCTTTTAAGCCATATGAAAGACCGTAATAATATAAAAAATTGTTTAATGATTATTCTTATTTTCTAAACACTTGTTCAATTACATTGTTTCTATTTTCTAAAGATTTCAGATCAATACTAATATTATTAAATACATAGCTGGTAATTTAATGATTGGAAAGTAAATACTTAGGAATTTATAAAAACATTGTTTATTAGTAAAATTATTTTAATCAAATTATTTAAAACCAAAATTAGGGAAAACAAATTAAATATTATGATTGTACAAATAATATATTTAATATTATGCTAAAGAGATAGAGCATAGAAGAATGATAATTACTAAATACAAAGAAATTAGTTTCACACAGCTCTCTGTTTATGCTCAACGAGCTGAATTTACGAGTTTTTCCGAGACCCTTTAAATTACGTAACATAGGGGCCAAGAGTTTATTTAAATGGCTCTACAGTTCAAGTACTAGTCTCACAATACTGACGTGTTGTAAACGTTACGACCTAAGTCGACGAGATGCACGTTTTCCGCTGTTTCTTTCAGAATCTTATTTCTCATTGGCATTTTCCACAATTGGAATTTATTTTAAAGAATCTCATTTGAACTTTTTACTAGTGCAAATTTTATTTGCTTACAATAAAATAATAATCCTGACTATTACAAAGTAATTTGTTATTTTTTAAA